CCTCAGGGTGGCTCGCAGGCTCCAGAGCTGGGGTTCAGGCCCTGCTGACCACAGTCAACTGTCCCCTGCTGCCTCAGACCAGGGCCGAATTCCTGGTGTGCTTCCCTCCTGCACCCACTCAATGGCTCTGTGGCCTTTGCAAGCACCTGCCTGGCAGGGCTATGGCAATGTGTGGAGTCAGACGATGGTGCCAAGTTGGGAGAGGACTTACAGCGAGACAGTGTAGATAAAGCCTGGGGCCCAGCTCCCCAGCAGCACCTGCTCCTGCACTGTGGCCACTGTGGCCACGTGGCTGCTTCTATTTCCTTGAGCTCCATTGCTATCTTATCCCAGGCAGGGCCCCTTCACCCCCTGTACCTGCCACCATCTGTCCTTGCCCCTGACTCCCAAGCCTCCTATCAGTCTTGCTCTTGGGAGGGAAAGAACCCCTGGCTTGGGGAGCCTCCCGGTCCTGAGGTGGCCACCTGCCAAGGCTCTGGCGTCCCCCATCCTGGGGCTCCTGCCCCACCTCTGAGCTCTCCCTCTCCCTCTCATCCCATTGGCCTCTCCTGGCTGGGGCCTTGCTGTCTGTCACCCCTGAACAGAGCTGATACTGACACCCCGGAACGGCAGGGACCTGGAACTGTTCCACTCACCTGCTTCAACCAGCACCTTGAGGACAGACCTTTACCTGCACTTAGAGCGTTTAGTTGAACTGCAGTTTTGATAATCATGTAACTGTGTGCAAATACTAGAGCAGGTGACTGTGGTGTGAAAGGGTGAATACTCGGGAAGTGTGTGATTTTTGTCTGAGAAGTTTAGTCAGCAAGCAGCTAATTCATGGCAACATAAAGAAAGTTGATATGAAAACGGCCTTTCCCCTACATCCCTAAGGAGACTGCCAAGAAGACCAGGACATGCTACTACGTATGTTCAAGAAATGATGAAGGGGAGCACTGAGGAGCTAAGATACACGGGTTTAATCTCAGATTCACTTCCGATGCACCACCCGAGTGTCTGGAGAGGAGAATCTGGACTCCTTCCTGCATCCGCTTTGAGAGGCGTGGCCCCAGTACGTATTTGGGAAGCCTTTGCGGTGGCAAAAGTCATGGAATTAGGTGGCAACACCTTAGGACCGTCAAAAGGGAGGGTTGCCTTGGGAATGAAGGCTTGGTGTGAACAGATTTGGCTTGTTGGGTCTAAAGAACAACAGAGTATTTCTCCCTGGCTCTTGGAATTCAAGGTCCTGAGCTCTTCAATCCTGGGCAATTTCACATTTGCTCATTTCGCACAAGCAGGAGGCAGGGAGAGTTGTTGGGATTCGTGCCAGGCAGAGCCGAGCACATCAGGGGCCCTGGGTAAAAGGGGGTGGGGATAGCGCAGGCACCAAAGGTCTCCGCATGGGGTTGCCAGCTGCCAGTGGACACCAGATGGGAAGGGAAACTGCATGCCCACCGTTTGCCTCTGCCTGTGGGGTGCTGCCCCCACAGTGCCTCTCGGGTGTCTGCAGCCTCACGTCTTGTTTCTTCTCACCCCCAATGTGGATCACAGCCGCTGCAAGTCTCCGTAAGCACCACAAGGCCAGCGGCCTCCCCTCGGGCTCATAGGATGCCTGAACCACCAGTCTCATCCTGAACTCCCCTCCATGGACGTGAGCCCCATTAGCTTTTCCCCCATTTAGAGGCAATGGAAGGCCAAACCCCCTTAGAGAAAGAACAAGAAACTGGGGTGAGCTGCCTCATGTGTTGAGATGTAGGAAAGTGAGATTTATTTGCAGAGAAAAGAACCGGGCTCCACTGTCCTGAGGGTGCCTCTGGTCTCTCACAGTTGGATCCCTTCATGTTTCCCAAACCCATGTCCGGATCACCCCCTCCCCACCCTATCTCTTCACTCCTCGAAAACCAGCTCCCCTAGCTTTGCCCAGATCACACAGCAACACCATATCAGGTAAATCCTTCCTCTTTACAGTAGACACTGAAATTCGCCCTATGTTCCCCACTCCCCTCTTCATCAATGAAAAGGAGCAGCTTGTGGTTTCCAGCACCGGGTGCTTCCTGTCTGCGGCCCCTCCAGGACATGGGCTGTAAAGTTTCTCTTCCTCCAGACGCCTTTGTGCACTGGACTGAACCGACCATCCCGACCTCAGCCCACCTTTTCTCCATCCTGAGCCACAGCACATGTCCCCCAGGAATCTGTGGCTCTGACCACCTCTGACGATTCACTCCCCCGTCAGTCCCCTGGGACCCCTGAGACAGTTCAGCCTGAGCCCCTGGCCTTCCGGGCCTCCCCAGCTGTGTTTCTGGTCATTCCTTTCCTTGAGTGCCTCCACCCTGGATGCCCAGGGCACCACCCTGGCCTCCCCTACACGCTGGCTTGGTTCTTCTCAACCATTGCCATTGGCTTGGTTTCTGTTGTGTTTGGTTTTTAGGGGTCAGACTGCCGAGTGCTGTTCTTCTCCCGGGCTCTGTCCTCCTCTCTCTCCTTGGGTTGCAGCATCCAGGTCTGATCCAACAACTCCACAGCACACAATGTGGCCCAGGCCATGCATGGAGGAAGACAGCAGAGCAGCCACGAGGCTCCCAAACGGAGCCAGGGCCCAGGCCCAGCACACCCTGCCCTCAGTCCCCTGCATCCACTGCCCCTCCTGCACCCGGCACTGGGCAGCGTGGGCTGTGTCAGTGGTGTCCGTCCTCCCTTCTCAATATGTTGTGAGCTCCACTAGGCCAGGACCGGTGCTTGGAAGCTGTGGGACCCTCAGCCTCCCTAGCAGAACGTCTCGCACACAGCGGTGGCTCCATAAAATATTTATTTCCTATCATGTCCATTTATTTTATAAATTTCATGCAGGCCAGAGAGATTGGAATTATTAATTACTTTAAAAAATAAAAGGATAAAGCAAGACCTGGAAATACAGACCCAGCAGCACTGGAATGCACCAACTAAGGCAGAGAGCTCCCCTGAGACTCCGCGACTGCTGGACCATTTAAGGCAACATCATATCTCAGGCGGAGAGGGAGAGAATCCGCCGGTCTTGGGGCGGGCGGGGGGGTTTAAGTGGATTTAGTCATGGTCTGGACTTGCCCAATTTTCTATGCTATGCTGTGGGAAGGGACAAGGTCCTAAACTACGCTCACAGGACTTAAATCAAACAAACAACACACACAGGTGGGTGGGAAGGCAGGCAGATGACTCAATTCTGTGCCCACCACCCATGGCCCCTGATGGGCCATGCCTTCTGCTTAGACAGCAGCCTCCTGGAGCCCACAGATGGGGGCAGTGGCATAAAGTCAGACCTGCAGCTGAGGCCTGACTCGCTGCAATGGCCCTGTCCCCCATCGCCAGTGACAGACCTGTTACTTTCTCACTGATCCTTCATTTTCCTATGCAATAGGGCTAATATTGTCTCTTTCTAAGGTTGCTATGAGGATTAATTTTTGAGATAATAGACATTGAGATAACAAACCTGCCAAGAGCTACATCGATGTGATTATCCTGAGATTGAGAGGAAATGTCAATGCGGCACTAGATGGTGGCATGACCGTGAGTGGGAGAGAGAGTGTGGATGTTCCGGATGTCCCCGGATCTCTACCAAACAGAAGATGCAGCGAAAGGACAGCCAGTGTTCCTGGTGTCTCCTTTTCCCCTCAGGGCAATGAATTACGGGTTTTCTGTGCCTTAGTTTTCTTCCTTTCAAATGGAGTTAATAATACTGTCTGTCTCGGGGATATTCACAGACGTGAACAATTAACGATTGCAAAGGCTCATTTGAAAATAAATGAGCTTACTCATAATGGTGGTGCTTGATATTTATAATAATAAGCCTGTGCTGCTGGCTTCACGAACTATATTCATTGGTACAGGGTTTAGTTTTATGACTGGCTTTTTCAAACTTAACATAAAATACTCTTATTTTAAAGTAATCAAATGACCTTCTTGCATTCATCCAGGGTCTTATTTGGAAAAACTTAAGATTTGATCATAGATCTATTTTAAACAGTGCCAAGTTAACTGACATTGATGCCATCGTATCTGGGGTCCCTAGGAAATCCAGAAGGGGACAGTGAATGGTAGGAAGACTCGGACTCGGGTCTGTCTGTAACACTCGGAGCCTGCAAGGCAACACAGTTAACTGAGTTGTATTAAAATGACTTGGTGTGGCTATAAACCAAACCACACCCCTCTAGCCGACGCGAAGAGCTTCCCGTACAAGCAGTGAACTGAGTTGTATTAAAATGACTTGGTGTGGCTATAAACCAAACCACACCCCTCTAGCTGACACGAAGAGCTTCCTGTACAAGCCGTGGGTGGGAGGGCTTCTCCTGTCTCCTCTGCAGCAGGCAGACATGGATGACACCGAGGTGTGAATTCAGCCTGCACCTCCTACAGATGAGCTGTTGAAGGCGATGGCCACAGCAAGTCCGCACCAAGTGCTCTTTAAACTCAGCAAACTATCCAAAGAACAGAAAACCAAACAGCGCATGTTCTCACTCATAGGTGGGAACTGAACCATGAGATCACTTGGACCCAGGAAGGGGAACATCACACACGGGGGCCTGTTGTGGGGTGGGGGGATGGGGGAGGGAGAGCATTAGGAGATACACCTATTGTAAATGACGAGTTAACAGGTGCAGCACACCAACATGGCACATGTGTACATATGTAACAAACCTGCATGTTGTGCACATGTACCCTAGAACTTAAATTAAAAATTAAAAAAAAAGAATGAGTATTTCTTTAAACAAAGAACCTTCCCGGCATTGCCTCCCGAGGTATGATTAATGAGGCCCGGCACCTCCTTCCTCACTCAGCGATCACTTCTCTGCAGCGCCTTCCCAGACGCAGGTTCCCTCACGGAGGCGGGAAGATTTCAGGCGATGTCTGTTCTTGTCTTTTGTCAACACAGAGAAGGATGGAGACCCCACTGGTCAGGCGAGCTCCGCGGTTCCTGTTCCACATTTCACCGCCTGGGGAAGCCTGGTCCCCATCGATTCGCCAAGGAACAAGGAAACAGCACGTCTTACCTGGATGGCGGGTCCCCCTCACGGTGGCCTTGGATCTGGCTTCAGCCGGAGAGGCAGCGCCTCGCTCACGGCTCCGCCGGTCGCTGCCTTACCCGGGAGCGCCACCCCGTGCCCCGCCAGAGGAAGTGCAAGTACCAGCGTAGCACGGGCCGAAAGCCACACTGTGGACCCGCAGTGCAGCTCCAAGAAATCTCAAGTCCATTCACCAGAGGAGCTTCTCCACCAAATCATTGAAAACTGAAACGAGAAATGAGTCTCCACGGGTATCCCCTTGAGTAGGCTGTACGGAAAATGCAACCTGGTCAGCTGCATTTCTGCTGCCAGCCCTCCTCCAGGCAAGCACTGGCCTCGAGAAGGGCAAAGGGCAGGTAGCAGCTCCGACGCAGGCGGCCACGGCGTGGGGTCACAGTTCAGAGGCCTTCTCAGCTGAACCTGAAGTTAGTCTAAGCTCGGGCCCCAGAGTGAGGACACGTGGTGAGGCATCCGATTCCCCATCAGCTCCTTTACCTAAAGCTGTGCAGAGAATCCGAGGCTATGAGTGGAGGTAGGGGAAAGATGTACAGGGGATGCTCTGGTTTCACTCCTGAGATACGAGAACGTCCTCCGAACACACATGCAGATAGCTGGACTTCTAGACAGACGAAATCCAAATCCTTTCTTTCCTCCCAGCATAAGGGAACGATCCAGTAAGAGCTAGTGTTCATCGATGCTACGTGTCCAGAATGGGGTCAGCACCCACCTCACTGTATCCTAACATCTGTCTAATGAGGCAGGGAATGTCACTGTCACACTCTGCAGACGAGGAAGCCAAGCTGTCAGCAGGTCCACATCTTGCCACAAAACCAGTAACCTGTGGTGCTGAGATCGCACACCAGTCGTCCACTGCCACCTCCGTGGCCTCCTTCTCTGGGGTTTGCCTGCCTTCTGATGGCTGCCATGCCTCTATCCCCTCACAGGGACTGGATCTTCCAGTGGTCAGTACTTTTTGGCTGCAAGCAGCAGAGATTCCCTCGAGGGCTTGTTGAAAGCACTCATGTCAACGTGGCCTCAGAAGGGAGCTGAGGCCATGCAGGGCGCTGCAGTTTCTCCTCACACTTTGCATCCCTGGCCTGACTCTTCCTCAACATGTCCTGCTATCTCCACAAGGCGGCCAGCCCAGCCCTGTCCTCCTCACCTTCCAGCCCCAACTGAGCAGCCCTCCCTGCATCATCTCCAGCTGCTGCCCAGGCTGCACGGAGCAGGTGTCCAGCGCCCATCCAGTCACTGTCTAGAGGGCAGAGCAACCAGCTGGGATGTAACAACACCTGGCCCCGCCCACACGCCCTGCAGTAATGCACTGAAGAGTGCATGGCAGCACATATGTGCCTCATGTGTCCTGCTGTGATGCACCGAGTGGCACATAGCGTTATTGTGTCAATCATGTGTCTTGATGTGATGCACTGGTTCAGACAATATCACGAAGGCAATGTTTCTTTAAAACTGTCAAATTTGAGGAAACAATCTAACAAAAGTCACTTGATGAACATTCTGTAAAGGTGACATAAATATTTCAAAAATGTCTCTGACATCGAAAGAAAAAAACAAAAAGGGAGCTAGTCCAGATTTTAAAACTAAAAGATATAGTAACTAAAAGCAGTTGTGGTGCTTGGATAAAAACAAACAACAGAAGGTATAAACAACATTATTAGACACACTGGGAAAAACTTTATATGGACCATGTATTCGATAACGGTGCTGTGTTTTTGTTAAATTTCCTTCGTGTGGTAACTGAAGGGGAATGATTTTGTTCTCAACAGATAATGCTCAAGTATTTGGGGGCAAAATTTCACAATGACTAACTTCCAAAATGGTTCAGTCAAAAGAATGACATATGTGCAATTAAAAGGGGAAAATAAGTGTGACAAAATGCCAACGACAGTTGAATTGTCATGTGGGAACTCACTGGACTATTCTAGAAACATTCCTGTAGCTTTAAAATTATTTAAAACAAATGTTGTGGGGGAAAGAGCATGCATTTAAGGTAGTAAAAATATTCAGGACACACAAAGAGGGGGTGCAAACAGGTAAAACGACAGGGTTTCTGACCTCAGAGAGCTTCCTGAAGCTGTGCACACGCCTGTCAGGAAGGCGGTGGAATGAGCAGAGCTTCGAGGGGCAGGTCATGTCTCTACTGAGTGGAGCAGAGGATGGGGTGTCTGCAAACAGTGAATTTTAAGCCATTTGTTTAGTCCACATTACAGTGAATCTAAATAAGAGTTTGGAAAGCCAGTCACACCGGACTATCTTCACTTCGTTTAACGATAGACACAGGTAGGGACGGGGAACAGACGTCTCAAATGGATTCTCAGCCACATGCTTGGAGACCCAGAGGATCGAGCACAGGAGATAGCAGCAAGGGCTTGGAACAGGCCAGGCTATTCCATCATTTAATTTAAAAGGGGAGGTGACTCCTGTTCACTCAGGAAAAAGTCAGGGGCAGGGCAGGTGCCAAAAGTACTGAGGTGATGCATTCTTCTAATATTGTTCAGAACATGTCTTCACATCTCATCAAAACAGCTTACGAAAGCAGAATATTCATCCTGTAGCTAAATTCCATGTTCATGCATTCAGGACCAGGCACAACTACCTTTACTCTCCAATATGGCCTGTCGGATGAACACCTGTGAATTTGAACCAATATTTACTGTTGCTCTTTGAAAAGAAGCATTTTCATCATTGCTTTTGATGGAAAGCAAATTTAGCTAATCTTCCATTTTTTCTTTGCCTCCAGTAATTCTGGTCTGCTCAAGGTATTCAGCCAGCCAGCAGAGATAGAAAATAAAGATCAGGCACAGTGGCTCATACATGTAATCCCAGCACTTTGGGAAGCTAAGGTGGGTAGATCACTTGAAGTAGAAGTTCAAGACCGGTCTGACCAACATGGTGAAATGCCATCTCTACTAAAAATACAAAATTAGCTGGGTGTGATGGCACATGCCTGCAATCCCAGCTACTCGGGAGACTGAGGCACGAGAATCGCCTGAACCCGGGAGGCAGAGGTTGCAGTGAGCCAAGATCGCACCACTGCACTCTAACCTGGGCAACAAGAGCAAAAAAAAGAGAGAGAGAGAGAGAAAGGAAGAAAAGAAAAAACATGGGAGCCCATGAGTTGGAGACTGGAGTGAAGTATGATTGTGTCGCTGCACACCAGCCTAGGTGATGAAGGGGAGGGGAGGGGGAGAGAAAGGAAAAAAGAGAGAGAAAGAGGAAGAGGAAGAAAGGAAGGAAGGAGAGGAAGAAGGAGAGGAAGGAAGGGGAAGAAAGAAGAAAAAAGGGCAAAAAGAAAAGAACAAGCATGCAGGAGAATTTGAAGTAGCTTTGCCATTGAGTTCTTGGGTTCCCCGAGTCACGCTATACCGTGGACCATCAGCCAGCAGAAATCCGTTCTTGTTACACCTGTGACCCCTGCTAGCAAGATGGTCAATGTGGCGGGATCCCTCAGGAAGGTGAGAACAGAGGACATTTGCCTCTTAAAGGTTAAACTCTAAGTTACTTCAATTGTGAGCAGAGACATGTAACACTGTTTAAGGAAAAACAACAAATTGCAGCCATATACGTTGTGACTGTAACCTGAATGGACATATACTGCAACTGACCAAGGAAGTGTCCATCAGAAGCAGGATGGGCAACTGGGGAAAGAATACCAAAGGAAGGTGAGGTAGCCCAGCAGCATGGCTGCCCACGCACCTGCAGGGAACAGAGCCACTGCTTAAGACAGCAGAGCCTCCCAGGGACACAAGACCCCAGCCCAGGAGCCTGAGCATCTGCTACTTCAGATGTGGTCTCTTTATTGGAACAAATCAATATAGTCCCAGATCTCTGGTCTGCAGCCACTGATCTGGCAGATGATTTTTCTCTGTACCTACTGATAGAGGTTGAGGTTTTGTCTCCTGCAATCTCATGTCCAGAAGCTGTCTTGTTCTCATCTGGCAGGGACAGCAGCAGCCTTGGTGGGAGTGCATCAGGGCTGTGCTACCTCTCCACTTCCTCCATGCAACCTAGAGCTCAGGGCTGTCGGCTGTCTTGCCATTCCACAGGATGCCACCATGGCCCATCACATTAGTGATGTGGACAGGAAACAAGACACCCCACTGTTTTGGTGAAATTATGACCACCTGGGCTGGGATGTAACTCTCGTAAGAATGCACAGGGCTGCTGCTTTGAAGTTTCCGAGGCCCGTGATCTAGGAAGGTATGGATGCACTCTGTGAGGGGGAGGACAGGGTGCTGTGCCCATGTCCACCGGCACTAGAGACGGCCAGGCACTCTGAGTCTCTCTGGAGCTCTGCAAGCAACATCCACCAGGCCACACACGCTACTCTGCTCACTTTCCAATTAACCTACAAACTGCCAGTTCCACATGAGGCCTAGAAAAAGCAAAGCCTCCAGAGCAGGTAGATGTAAAAGCTGGTCTCCCCATCAGGCCGTGGTGGCAATTAGATCCCATGATGCATGGCAGAGTCACAGACAGGCCCAGAGCAAAGACACCTAGGGTTCTGGGACAAAACCACAGCCTCCTCTGCAGATAATTGCTCTTCTGAGAACCAGCTCTCAGCTTGTCCTCTAGGCCCTGATGGACACTGAACATCTATACTTCACCATGGCACAGCTAGTGACAGCTAGCTGGAACTTGAGCGGACCACCAAAGACTGCGTGTTCTGACCTGTCACGTCACCAGGTGAGTCAACTGCGGGAGCATGTCATCATTACATTCAGGCAAGATGTATATATTTCATAGGTATATAGGTGTACACACACACACAAGCATGCATGCACATGCACGCACACGCACACACACACAGGTTAGGCCTTGGCATGTTCTGGAACACAAGATACACAAGCAAGTGGTTCCGATGCTCTTCGAGCCCACAGCTGCATGGACAGCACCCCTCACCATGTACCTATTGGCCCCATGGGGACTTCCCTAGGACCACTCACCCGAATTAAAAGTTGGATTTGATTTCTGCAAAAGATGCTGACAGCTGACACCACTTGAAGGTGAAAGTTGGCAACGTTCTAACTCATTTGAGTGGCCCTAAGGAACAGCAGGGGAGGGGGCCCATGCTCTCAGTAGGCAGGTGGCACGATGGCTGCCTCATGCATGTTAGCCTTTCTCTCCAGCCACCCAGCCTTGCTCAATGTTCTCATCAACAAAGTGGCCATGGAGGCAGTGAAGGATGTTGTCAATGGCTTCAACCACATGGACGTCCTCACTCCAAGGCTAGTCTGGCTAAGGTCCACTGCTAAATGTATAAATCTGCTAATGGGAGACACCAACACAATTCCTAGTATGAAAAACTCAACTGGAAAGAAGAGCCAGCCCCCAAGTACATCGGGCCATGTGTTCTGGGAGGGACAGAGACGCCTCTTGGCCACTGCACCTGGCTCACAGAAGCCTCATCTGCTGCACGAGTTGCTTCCAGTACTGCTTCCAGGAGACCTGTCTGACAGCAGAGCTCAGCAGTGAGGCCTGTGACAATCGTGATCCCGGCGCACACCCCACTACCTCGGGGAGCCTCCCAAGCACCAGGCAGTGCTGGCTGTGACAAGGCCCCCCTTGAAGGCTGCTGGGTTGCCCAAGATGTGCCCTGTACTCCGAGCCATCAGTCAACAAGTGGTATGGGTTCTCCCATGGCCGGAAAACACGGGTGGAGGCACACGTGGAACGGGAATGGCTCCTCTCATTATGCCCCCGCACAACTAGCAAGGTTTTGGATTCTCTGCTCACAATTCTGGACTCTGCTGGTTTGGGTGTCTTCATTCCACAGATGCTTCCACAGACGGACACGAGGTGCCCACTGCCCTGCAGGCAGAGGCTGCCACCCAGCCGCACTGGATGCCTTGTGCCAATGAGCCAGAAGAGTTTACTGCTATGGCGAGGGGACCGTTCTCAATTGTCTTGGGGAAATATAGCTCCCACCACAGATTGGGGGGCTGGGAGGAGGGTCTGGAATTTACGGGATTCTCTAGGGAACCTCTTAGTATTCCTAAGTCCAGGGACAAGTCAATGGAAACCTACAGCTACCCAAAACAAGAAAGATTTCTAATGGGAAAGACCTTTCAGGAATGAGGGCTGGGTTAACTCCGCAGGTGAAAAACCACCACCCAGAGAGGCAAAGGAAAGGAACATGGAACAGTGGCAGAAAGGAATTTTCAAACACAAACTTCTGCCAGATCATCAGGTT